GCGACGATATTACGCAAATAGTGAATCAGTCACTCAGACTCGGCGAGACTTTCATACACATTTTAACATTGCACAGCATGGTGCTACCCCTGATCGTAACACGATATTGCATTTGATACATAATGTAAAACTCAATTAGATCTCTGCTTAAGAGAAAACCTCCTGGACTGGCAAGGACAGTTAGTACCCCTGAGACAGTTGAAAGAGTGCGCCTAGCAACAGCTCAGAGTCCTAGCCGCGACGGCAGAGCAGTGACAGTGAATTAACAACGGTACCTAGACATGTTGGAAGAACATTTCTTGCCGGAACTGCGCCATCAACGTGTCGAGATACGTAATGACGTATGGTTCCAACAAGATGGGGCAACAGTCCATACAGCTCGCATTAGAATGGAATTCCTTCGGCAAACATTACCTAAAAGAGTTATCCCACGTTTTGGTGGTGTCACATGGCCAAGCGCTCACCAGGTCTTAAAATTCCAGATTTCTTTCTATGGGGATTTTTAAAATCTAGAGTTTACATAAACAAACCAAAACAATACAGGAACTTAAAGAAGCTATTCGCCAGGAAATCAACGCCATTCCTAGAGATATGTTAGCGAATTCCGTAGAAAGGTTTAAGGAACACCTTCAACGCTGTATCAAAGCAGAAGGCGACCCGTAAAATTATCAATGTTCTCTAACCACCACGTTAGAAATGTAATTTTTAAATGCTAAATTGCAAGTAATTTTATTCTGAAATTGCATATTGTGTACACTGTTTTTCTACTCATAAATACATTTTTTGCTCTGAATTACCTGAGTACTCGTTATTTGAAAAACATGCGTTTCTCGGTAATCACCCTGTATAACGATCGAAGGCGGATAATCCGATTATCGGTTAATACGAGGTCGGTTAAGAGGGGGTCTACTGTATGGACACTGTTGTTTTAAATTTTAATGGCAAGTTCGTTCCACACCATAGGCCTTTCATTCACATCAGAGGAGACAAAGCGTGTTGTGTTGACAATTGTTGAAAATGTGATGAACTGGGACTACTTCTCAATCTTATTCTACGACAGTGACGGGAATAATTACCCCAATTCAAGGGAATACTTCTGTTAAATGTCCAAGCCGTTTACCTTTGGTGGTTTGTGTGAGCTGGTTGTAGCTTCACAACTATTCAAATTTGTTTTCGAGGTTTATCAGAATAGTGAATTATATGTCAAGTTTAGTGATAAACGTAATCCCGTGAAAAGACTCAGATTTACACAATCCCTGTCTAGCGGGCACTTCGACGTTTTAGAGCCACAAAAAAAGCCCGCTTCTCCCAATCGTCAGCCGATTCCGGAATCTCAATAAAATACATTAAGGCGTAAACTGTGTAGCAGGTGCACAGACAAACAAAGAAGAGAGCAGCTGAAAAACGCAAGCAAAAGGTATGAACAAACTCATCCTGAAATACATTTGCCAAAGATTCAATGGATGGTGAAACATCTATAAATAATGACATATAATCCTGAAAAGAGACTATGAAGGAGATAGCTCGGTGGTGATAGGTGAATATTATGATGTTCAATTGTAAGTACTGCAAAGCCTTAAAATGGAAAGAAGAAACACCGGGCATGTACTGCAATGGTGCAGATACTACCTTTGCAGCACCTACCTAAACCTTTATTCAGTCTGGTCATGGGCCACCACCCTGAGCAAACCATCGATGTATAATAACTCCCTGGATTGCGCGCTGAGGTTGAAGTAGGGCTCGAAAAATGGTCCGCCGCTTCCTCGCTCTGTCTGCGAGGAGTGGGGATAAAAGGCATGAGTCACCCTAGTGCCGAGCGTCGTGCCCGCTCTCGCCGTGTATTGCTATGTTAGTTTTGTGGACATATTACGAGTAAAATTTATTATAACGAACTTAAGGAGGTTTGTAAACAGATATAATTAATCTAATTACTTGCTCACACTTTACAGACTATGCATCACAAGTAAATATCAGAAGAAATTTAGTGATGTTATGAAAGAGTTAGATTTATTTATAACCTATTTGAACATTGGTCAGAACAAAATATCACAATAATTATTCTATCACATAAGCATGTCATCATTTGCTGCTGTGAGCCCCAATTATTATTCAGAGACTTAGCAACATGTAAGGTACATTTTGGTTATATTACAGTATGTTTCTTTGTCGTACGTGTTTGTAAAATATATTATATGTTGTTAAATAAAAGGAGTGTATAATATTTTATGCCAATATCTCCAATTCATTGATTATTCTCAATAAAGTAAAATAATTGCAAAATATTTTCTCACATTAATAATAAATACTGAGTGAAAATTTAAAAACGTACGTTTTCATGTCCCTGTCCTTTTACTTCGTAGATACTGGATTTGTAGTTTATTATTATGTGTTTTAATATTTTTTGGGACGGGGGCAACACGTTACACACATTTATCTGGTTTTAAATAGGTTCTAGGTATTTTTTTCGTATTTTTAAAGTCTCGAAATTCACGACCATGACGTGTCCCTAGGGTACATTTTCCAACTTTCACGCTGTTTTTAGACTAATTATTCATGCCGAAATATATAAAGCCATATTTTTATGTCATCAATGGTTATTAAACTTACAAAAAAGGAGCATATTATAATTTTGTTGTCATTGCAGACTGACTACCATGACAAAATAAGTCTGTCCCTCGATTTGGCGTCACGACCATTTGGGAAGAATTTTCAACTTTGGAGCACGACAGTGGCAAGCCTGGCGTCAATGGAGTCAGTTGGTTTTAGAGACTAGTTCGGGGTGTACGTCAGGATTGTAGTGCCGGTCGTTTTGAGTTGAAAGGAGGAATTATAAGATTAATAAAGGAAAGATTGTGTTTTTTGTAATTTTGGTGTGTCCATGACCGTACGTAGTCATTCGATGAAGTAGACATGGTGTTAATTTTTGTTTATAAGATATTTCAATTGCTAGATTAACCTAGAAGTCCACTTTGTATCCTCGAACATGAGGTGCAGGGCTACCGCCAGAACAGAGCCAAATAACACGTAATTTCACGACCAAAGTTTCACGACCATCGCGGTTTTTTTCACGACCAATCCAGCCTTATGGATTATAGTGTGTTTGGTCGTGACAATAACTTTAATATAATTGTAAATTGAACAGTTTAGTTCAATTGAAACACATATTTTTATTATAACTAACAGTATAATTGAAGGATTGTTTAGAAAGATTTAGATTATTCCAGACAATTCACGACCGTACTGCTTGTCCCTGACCATCACGTTTATGAATTCTATTATAAAAATTTCAAAAATTAAAATATCGTCATATTTCAATGTTTTATACACAAAAGAAGCACACCTCTATACAAACATAACGGTTTTTCGGGTCTCAGGTAAGTTTTTTCGGAGTTATACAAACTTAAAAAGATTTTATTGGCTTTTTTCTATTTTTTGAGCTTTTTTTTATTTTTTTCTAGAAAGACCAAATATACCACAAGCTCAGTGACCTTTTTATTGTATAATGGTCATAAAAGTAAATTAGTTTATAGCAAAACATAGTTATAAAAATAATATTGACTATTTTTAATATTCATTTAAACGTCCGTTATGGTCGTGACAGGATTTTGTGTTTTTCTACTAAAGATGCTCTTAAAAAAGAAAACTACCAAAGATATTGCGTTACCATGGACATTTTATGAAACTTCAAATGTTAATGAAATAAAAAAAATAATAAAAGTTTTGAAAAAAGGGGAAAAATAGTTGCAAAGTGCTTTTCCTGAAAACGTACGTTTTTAAATTTTCACTCTACTACTGTACTGTGAATCCAAAATGTATTCTTTGATTCAACGATTTTTTTTTAAACTATAGACTACGTTAAGCAATAAAATTCATAAACATACGCTTGTAAATTTAGTTACCCATCCTTCGTAATGTAATGACATATTTAATGTGTATAATGATAATTAAATGCCAGAAACTCAGTATCCAAATCCCGTAAACTGATGCCTAGCCGGTCAAACTCCTAGCGCCAATGTCGCGCCAAGCGATTTTATGCCTACTTTCAATCGCTTAAAAATGATAGAAGAAAACTCCGTATCGAAAAAAGCTTCAAATAACAAATAAAATTCATACTTTAATCTAAAACTTTGCCGCAGGAATTTTTTTCCTGACCAAAAAAGTTCCTCGCTTACTACATTTTTCATATTTTTAGTTGTGTTAAAAAACGATCATCAATTTTTATTTGCCTAAATAAATTATAAAAAATATGTTTAGGTTAACACAAACTATACAGTAAAAAGCACTGTCTTTTCCAGAAAATAAAAATAAAAATTTTAAATTTTTACGTTGGCAAATAAGTGAAGCAGGGCAGGTTGAGTGAAAGTATGTTTGTGTAAAAGACAGAGGTTCATACGGCCTGTCCACCTCGGTATCCCACCAATTAGACTGGTGGGAACGGACCGTTTTTCCACCACACAGCGCGCTATCCAGTAGAGTTATTACATCGATGGAGCAAACACACTTTATGGACCGGGTGAGACATTATAATAGCTGCTTTGATATGACATCGATTGGAGCAAAACAGGTTGTAGCTGAATTGTTGACTAAAGGCTGTTGGAACTTAAACACTAATTTAAAAACAATTTAAACCAATCTGAAAGTTTCCGTAGTGAAGCACGGGTATTCCGCTAGTATATATATATATGAATTTGAACAGATGGTGTTTTTGGCCTCTAGGGACCTCAAAAAGGAAAAAGTAAATCCAGGTCCAGGTCTTCCCACGAGTACTACGGTAATAGCTTATTCCCTATATGGGAAATTCGCTAAAACTGTTTCTAAGGATATTTCAGATAAAAATAAATTTGTTTATTATTAGAACAGTTTTTTACTGCCAGAATATTTATGAATAAGTTAGATCCTAGACTTTCATTTTATTCCTGCACAATGCAGAATTTATTTATTTGCCATGAACACAGAATTGTGTCAGTATGGTCCTACAATGTAATATTTGTACCTTGTAGGCCAACATCAGTGCACACCTGCCTCTGCTGGTCCTCGGTGTCCTGGGTATCCTGGGCGGAGTCTTGGCTCTCTTTTTGCCTGAGACCATGGACGAGGAACTACCTCAGACGATGGCTGACGGAGAGAACTTTGGCAGAGATCAGAGTTTCTTTGACATCCCATGTGTTAAGTTAGTGTATTCTAAGTTTTACCTAATCGTAATTAGGGCGAGTGGTGGTGATAAGGCAACCTTAGACCCCACACAGTGCCAGATTTACTACTTGGCCACAAGCAAAAAGGGCTGCAACGTATTGTAAAAGACATTATTATTCATGGCAAAAATTTAGTTTTAACTTCTTAACATTGAAAATTTGCCTTGACCATGGGTGACGAGAATGATGTTCCGTGATCAATTCATGTTCACAATTTCGTTACAATCATGAGTAACGATGATGATGTCCCGCGATCACAGGTGAGGATAATGATGTCCTGTCATCACAGGCAATGTTCACGATTCACAATTTCGCCGCAGCTGTGGGGATTGAAGTTCAACCTAAGGAGCAGGGGCTGCTTGGGTTACTTTGGCTTGGGGCCGCAAGTACCCTAAATGCAGCACTGACCCCCCCTAGGGTGGGGGACACTACCCAAGCAAAGAAAAAATATGAGTTAAAATTATAACATTTTTTAAAATTTACTTTTTTTATGGAGAAGGGTACTTGTGACTAAACTAAACATTAGTTTTAAGTATGATGGTTTTGCTCGTTGAGGAATACAAATTGCTAAATACGGAAAAAACACAAACAAAATCATACTATTTTTTTAGCACAATGACTCATTTGCTTAATACATACCTCAAAGATAACCTCCAGGATGAGTACGAAATGGGTTGGTTGACGATGAAATTTCAATTCTTCTACATTTATTATATATAAATTAACTAGTTGTATTATTTTAAATTAATTAATTATTCTTTTAAGCAATTATTTTTTTATAGTTGTAGCTGTGTTATGTTTAAGTATGCTTGGACAAAACCTATTTCAGTGTTAGATGATTTTGCGTCTATGGCAAGTAAATATTACTGATTTCTGTGTAATCCTTGTTTATTAATTTATTAATATTTTGTGTTTAAAAATAAATAAACAAAAAACTTATTCATAAAAAAAACTTAAAATGTTTCAGGAAACCCAAAGAAGTCCCAGTGTTCCAAAGGAACGTAGTGTCAACAGTGTCCAAGACTTCATTCAGGGCTTCTATCCGAGGAGAGCAGTACAGGTCAAGCCTAATCAACCGGAATCGCTCACTTCGGCATCAACCAAAACCACCAGCAACAGCGACGCAAGAGCTCTAGTCCTGCCTCCTCCGTTATGTACATTAACGATTTCAGTGAATCACTTAATTTATTTTACTCCTTCTACCTATCTTTGAGACCATTTTAATGTTGATAGATATATATATATATGTTTAAATGTACTGTAATTAGATTTTAGTACAGTTACAAGTTAACTTAAATGTTAATTTAGAGTTAATGTAATTTAGAACAATGAGAAATTATAGAATGATTTCAAAACTGTGATAGTTTTTATTAGATGGGACAAGTGGTTTTGAAAATCCGTGTGTAAATAAACCACAAGATATCTTAAAATCTCAATACATTGCAATCAAATGATTTCTTTAACTAAACAGTTTACATTTTGTTATAAGAGTACTGATTGTAAATATTTCTGTAGTTAGTACATTACAGGTAATATATTTCATAACAAGAGTACAAAGTGAGTCATTACATATTTGAGACCTGTTTGAAGAGCGAGATTTATCGAACACTTTAAATGGTCGAGAATATGTGTAGATCCACTTTCACTCGTGTTTTGAACGTTACTATACATTTAATACACTACAAAGACTACTTTTTTCTTCATCAAAACAGACGTAGGATATTTCTTTATTACAGTTACGGACATTACAAAACTCATAGTATTTTTTAGGTTATGCCTTCAATTTAAAGTTAGTACTGTATTTACTTTGGTTGTACAGTTTTGGCTGTTGAAAATTATTGTAACAGTTGACAAAGCAATAAAAAATCTTTGTTTGTTTACGTCGGAAAAAAGATAGTAAACAATGAACATTATTTTTGTATAGTAAACATTCTTTTTCCGTAGTAATCAATGTAATGGTTAATTTTCGAAGGTGATAAATATGTAACGAAAACCGGTCATTTCACTGTAGTTTAGCGAAAATATCATATTTTAATAATTATTTAGCTGAGTATTTATAAGTAAATTATTGTTAAATTCCTATTATTGATTAAGTTATTTATTGTGGATTGTAAGATGTATTTAAGTTAAGATGTAATGATGTATTAGGATCTCTCAGATGTCTAGTTCCATATCACTTGCATGGAAGGAGGCAGCTGTTTGGTGGACAGGAAACAAGTGCCAAAGTATTATGAGAAGTTGCCAACTGCCTGAGAGTACATTGGACCATTTGATATAGACTTTTTTTAAATTTACCGAATAATTCAGATTGTTAGTGGTTATATGTTCAACCGCATACACAATTTAACATTTTCTTAATACTAAAAAAGCTGAGAAATACCTTCAACAGCTATTTAATGAGGACAAATAAAGAAATCAAAAGGCAAAAATTTGACACTATTCTTAGTAGTTTAGCACTTATAGTTTTGCAAAGGCTATAAAAGAAAATGGGTTTTGGCCAAAGTCAATTCGTTGTCTTGTAAAGATTTGACATGGAAAAAGTATTTAATTTTCAAATAAATGTTAAATTTGTTAAGGAACTTTTTTTTTATTCTAACAGAAGATATTTTACAAAATTACCCTTTCCCTTTTCTTTCACCCTTCAAGTGATTGACTTGGTATTTATAATGTTGAAATTTTCTCTGTCAGAATTCTGTGTAAAGACTGATTTTTGTTTATGATATAATTAAAGTGTGATAAAATATATTTTATAATTTTAATAGAATCATGCAAAAAAAACAAGATAAATTACATCTCAAATTTGTCTTTTTTTCAAACCCATCTTTATTTAATCCACAACTTAATTTTTGAAATTGTTTCATACAATCTTCCATTAGTAATTAAAGTTACCTTACCTCCTTAGCCATTGAAACCTTATAAGGATTTTGCCTTGCCAACGATGCTTATCCACTCTTCCCTATTCTCCGCTGCCTCAGGAGTAGTGCCCAACACAGCCACACCCTTACGTAATTTAAGTAACGAGTATAAAAAACAAAAATGGTCACTATTTTTTTAAACAAAACAATATTTTTAATGATATTTTTTTGCATTTAATTTATTGCTATTTATAACCGTATACCAAGTTTCATAAGACATCAATTTTAAATGAACCCTTTCAGTGCTAGGCCAATAATTCCTATTTCGTAAGACTTTTTTGTTTGCCTTTTGACTCCATAACCTTTTGTTGAATTTTAACTGTATTGTTGTAACTATTTTATTAATTAGGCTAATTTTGAATAATATAAGACAATAACAAATATATAACAAAGAAAAGTCCGGGCATTTGTAGTAAACATTAAATAAAACTTTGTTTTTGTTGTAAATTTCCAAGTTTACTTAAATTATCTCATAAAATGGAAAGAAATCTTGTTTACAATGTAATATTGAATTTAACCTTGATTTAGTTTGATAAGGTTATTATAACATATACATTTTAGGAAAAATAGTTTTTATTTCAGCAAAGCCTCAGTAATACCATTTATGTATGATCACTGTTGAGGTTCAACTGAAAAATATCATCTAAATAGTTTTCCGTGACTAACTAGTGCTGCTACCTTTGTAACGCATTAGATAACCTGCTGTAGCGCTAACTGTTCGCAATCGTTGACACCAGCTTAAATACCGGTTTTTGACTCCTCTATCTCCAAGCACAGATAGCCGAAAAGGCTAGGGCGTGTGTCACTTGAACAGTGGCATTCCTTTGCTCGGGTTTGATTTCCGTCCTGTGTGGCAAATAATTGGTGACCTAGTCATAGTCATAGTCAAATTTATTTATTTATCTTGTATATAAATACATAAATAGTTTCACAATAAGGTAAAATAATGATAATCTTATGGTCAATTACATCAAAGCTCTCTCAAAGCTATTTAAAAATTAATTGAAATAATCCATTAATCAACTTACTAGATTTAACTTACTGAAAAAAAAAACACAAAAAAACAATTAATACTTAAGAACTTTTACATGCTAAGTTAAATTACATGAAGAGTATACATTATACATATATACCTCTGAGCATCTCAAAGAATCAACTAGAATCGAAAACTTCTACCTTTGGATAACAGTTTTTTTACAAATATTTTTTAACCAAATGCTTATAAAGTGTTGGTTACTAATTTTGCTTTTTAAAACCTGTGTGTTTGTAGCGATACACTACAACCACTGGGGCATAATGATTTGTTCATAATCCTTGGTTTTACATACACCTCGAATCATCGGATTGGGCAAATCTTTTAGCTATACTCCGCACCAAAGCTGGTGGCGGCTGAGGGATTAGGACCGCCAGGTAGGACTACATAGGTCGGACCTGCTCACCGACCTGGCCGTCCTAATCCCTCAGCCGCCACCAGCTTTGGCGCGGGGTATAAGTGGTTGTTAGTATATCCTATGAACATGCAGGTCACCAATGGTCGTTAAATAACCTTCCTCTCTATATCCCCAAGAGATTTTTGGAAACGCTGATATATCTTTGCATAGCACTCAAAGGGTTAAAAAAAATAGCTGATATATCTTGTTAACAAGTTGTTTTTTTTTTAGAAAAAGCTCTATTCTCAAGTTGCATTTTATTTTAACCATAAAACCTATAGTAAATTTATTAATTTTACTATACTTAATTTGTTGTTCTTACTTATGGGACACCCAGTATATTTTACAAGCTGATAACAACATACGTTCACTATTGATGTGGTAGTTTTGTGTTATAAGTACCGGTAGTTTATGTCAGAAAATCTCTAAAAACATGTTCTTTTCTCATTTGAAATGTTATAATTTAAAGTCGTAGTTTAATAAGAAAAGAGGCTTAGCTTAGCAAAATTTACAAATAACTTGATTGATATTTAAATACCAAAAGGACTCATGAATAAAACAAGGTGAACCCGGATATTTTTTTAACCACAACCATCACTGAATAGGCCTAACAAAATTAAATGATAGTAGTTCTGCCTGTGCCTCGCCACGGGGTGAGAACGTAGGGAAGATATGGTAATTCTTCACTGCCTCGTCTACTGCAAACTGCTGGATGATTAAGGGCTTTTTCTTGATGTAAATTAATATTATCAATGTCCATGTCACAAGGAAAAATACTCTACAGATGTGTTTTTTCCCAGTTGGAACACATGAGGCGTGTCTATGGTTCTCGTGTCACTTAATACACAACATTTGTCTGCAGCATCAATTGCTGTGTTTTTAAAATAGGCTATATACTGAACTAATAAGTAAACAATCAAAACAGAATTCAAAGTTTTAAACACTATCCCACATTATCAGAAAATAAACGTACTGTCACTTCTCTTTTCAAGTTTCAAAACTTTCAAGTTCTGTCAAGACCTGTAAAATGATACCAAACTCCACCTTACATCCTATTTGAAAATTTTGAGCTACCCCCAACCACCACTACACCCAAGGACAACATTTTCAAATTTAACCATCATTATTGTAGCCCTTCATAAAAAGGTTGCCACAAGCCGATTTGAAATATTCCAAATAGTTGAAAAATTAAGGGGGGTGAAAGTTACTTTTCAGCCACCCTCAAATTTATTTGGATTTGAAACGTTTTAGGGCACAATTTGGTTATTTGTGGTTATTTTGTTTTGTCAAGACCTGTGAAATTATACCAAACTCGACTATACTTGCCATTTGAAAATGTTGAGCTACCCCCTACGCTGAAGGGCAAAATTTTCAAAATTAACAACCATCATTATTGTAGCCCCTCATATCTAAGAAGGTTTACCACAATCTAAATTCAAATATCTGAAAAGGTTCAAAAGTTAAGGGGGGGGGGGGGCAAGTTATATGCTTCCTCAAATTCAGATTGTAAACAGCATAATGTAAACAAAAAAATTCAAGGAAATAACAATACAACAATCAGCTGTTAGTTAAATTATCAACACATGTTCCATATGATAACGGTATGCCCATTACCACCCATTACCCAAACCCATTACTACCATAAATCTTTCATCATTATTTTCAAATCTACATGGTAGAAGCTTTCCATTGACCTATTAATTAATCCAGTAAAACTGTAGATATAGTTGTACAAAGTTGCTTGGAAATTGCTTAGCTTTTTTGCAAATAGCTTTCAATGGTGAGGAAAACGACCAAAGTGGAAGGTGATATTCTGAAAGAGAATAAAATTCCCTACAAATTACCATAATTAATGTCTTGAAAATACTCATTAGGGAACATTGCAAACCACATTTTAGGCATCTTCAGATTTTAACCGTCATAGACTTATATATTTTTGAAATCACAGTTTATATATTAAAAAACTCTCGTCATTAAAATTCATAATTATAATACCGGAAACAAAACTAAAGCAGCGATTCAATACCGGTATTGTCGCTTAACTAAGTCGTTGGATAGCCATGTGGTGATATCTTTAAAAATTTACAATATCTTTGAGCCTATGATTAGAAAATATTCAATAAATCAATTTAAAAACAAACTTGATAATTGGTTACTAAAAACCCATTTTATGCATTAGATGACTTTTCTAAATTGGTGAAATCAAATTCTAACATAATGTAATCTTTGGCACTTATTTTATTTTTTATTTTATTATTATTATTATTATTTATGTTATTAACCTACTCTTATATTTTAATATTAATTATATTGTATTTTACATGAGATTTTTAGAGTT